CAGCAGTAGTAGTAGAAGTAGTAGTAGTAGTAGTAGTAGTAGTAGTAGTAGTAGTAGTAGTAGTAGTAGTAGTAGTAGTAGTAGTAGTAGTAGTAGTAGTAGTAGTAGTAGTAGTAGTAGTAGTAGTAGTAGTAGTAGTAGTAGTAGTAGTAGTAGTAGTAGTAGTAGTAGTAGTAGTAGTAGTAGTAGTAGTAGTAGTAGTAGTAGTAGTAGTAGTAGTAGTAGTAGTAGTAGTAGTAGTAGTAGTAGTAGTAGTAGTAGTAGTAGTAGTAGTAGTAGTAGTAGTAGTAGTAGTAGTAGTAGTAGTAGAACGCCCGAGGAGAGCTGGAGGACAAGTCGTGGGAGGACTCGAGGAGCAGCGGGCCTCTCCCGAACCCGAGCAGACCCACCTCTGGGGCGTGTCCCCCCACAGGGGGATCATCTGTGGGACGGGAAAATGCCCACAGCCGCTGCTTCTTGTTTGCGCCGCCTTCCAGCTGGCCGAAAAAGAAGCAATGGTTGTGGTCATTTCCCGGGTGCCAAGCTCAACGAAAATGACCACAACCACTGCTGCGTTTCTGCGGGCTGGAAGGCGGCAACACAAGAAAAGCAGTGGCTGTGGTCGTTTTCACGCCCCGGATTATCCACAAAAAATGCAAACAACAAAAAAAAGCAGCTCCAAGATGGCAAAAATTAGTCCCCAGACAATGTTTTACTACTTTTGAGTATTCCTCCTGTAGAGGGACGGGCCCGACTTAATGCAGACACCCCGATGCCGAAACCGCTCTCTCCTGGGCACGCTGGGGCCACTGGGCCCCGACCAGGGAGGCACGAGCGCTGGGGGGGTCCACGCGTCTTCCCCCCCTGGCCTTCTGTTGCTCCCATCGTACTTAAGGACCACATCCCGAAATAAGTTCGAGCACCCAGAAAAGTGTCGAAGGAGTGTCGAAACAGTGTCGAAACAGTGTCGGACGAGCGTCTACCAGGGCCCGACATGTGAAAACCCTCGAGTTTTTGGAGACTCTTCTGGTGCTCGAAATTCTTTCTGGTGATCAAGGCTAAAGTAGGTTACAACATCATAACCCTAGCCCAGCCTTCCTCTATCGCTGCCCCCGAGCCGATGCACAACCGACGCACTAGCGACGTCGGGACGGAACACAGATCGGACTCCAGACCGCGCCACACCGCAGATGCATCGACGTCGAAGATGCGTCGGAATTGAAGCAGAGGCATCCGAGATCAGCATGGTCGACCTTTTTTGTTCCACTGTATGTTTATCGACGTCCCTTCTCCCGACTCTTCGCCTGGGAATCGGTTCTGGATGGGCTGCTGGGCATACGGGAGGCGGAAAGTCGCCAGCCCAACGGGCCAAAGGCGTGCTGAGATCTGGCAGGAGACGCAGAGCGTTTGCGTAGCACTGCGCAGCTTGCGCGCGCGGGGCGGCCTCTGGTGGTCCCCCGGCGACGTACCTCAGATCCAGCAAATCAGCGATGGGTTTTCGTCCTGGGCGCGGTCTTCACGGCCCCCGAGAGCGCTCGAGGAGCGCTCCAAGGGGCCTGGAGGAGAGCCCAAGATTTGGACGCCCGAAATGGGTACCGAAAAAATGGGTACTATGCCCAACAGCAAATGTTGTCCCAAACCAACAGCGGCCGCTGTTGGGCAGGCGGCCTCCTGTCTCGAATGGACACGGGCCGCGGCGGCGTGGACAGCGAGCCCTGTTCAAGATCCGCTGTTGGGCATTGTACCCATTCTTTCAGTACCCATTTCGTGCGTGCAGATCCAAGGAGCCTGGAGGAGAGCCCGAGAGGGCCCGACCCGGAGGCCCTCAGAACGAGCCACGAGCGCCCCTCGAGGCTCCCCACCAGTGCCCAGAGAAGCACACATCATTCATGGTCCTGAGGTGTTTGGTCGGAGTTCAGCGTTATCGCCTTCTCCCACTCCCGACTGCCCAAGACGGCCCAAGAGGCCTCCAAGGTCGCCCCAAGACAGCCCGAGAGGCTCCCAAGAGGGCCCCCAGACTGGCCAAGAGGGCCCCACGATGACCCAAGAAGCCTCGCAAGAAAGCTTACGAGGCCCCCAAAGGCCCTCTGCCCGAATAGATAGCTCCAAGAGGCCTCCAGACGGCCCCGAAGACCCTCGAGGCTTCCGACATACTCCAAGACACCTCCCAAACCCGCCGACCCTGTCGGCGTATGTGAGGGGCTTGTCTGTTCGAGTCGTCGTCTCTGTCAGTCGTCGTCTCCGTCGACCCCTTTCCATGCACCTTCCTCATCAAGCCTGTCAACGAGAGAAAAATCGAGCAATGCCGAAAATCCAGTCGAAGGGAAGCCCCTTCCCTTTGATCCCTCCCCCATCGGGGGGGGAGTCCGGGCGAGACGGTCCAAGAGGGCCCCAATCGCCAAAGGATCGGTCAAAAGCGCGTTCACGCCCTCCAGACTGCCGAGGAGGCATCCAAGACGCCCCAAGAGGCCTCAAAGAGTTCTCCCGAGAGGGCCCAAGAAGCAAAACTCACATATAAATGTTCGAAAGATGTTGGCGTTATCGTCTGTTCCGCAATTTTGTCGCTCCAAGACAGCCCCAGAGGCCCCTAAGATCGCCCCAAGACGGTTCAAGATGCCTCCAAGAGGGCCCCAGAACAGCCTGAAGGGACCCCAAGACAGCCCCAAACGCCTCCAAGACGGCCCAAGACGCCCCCAAGACGGCTCCAAGAGCGTGCCCTGACGGGAGACCCGAACAGACATTTCGAGCCCTCGGCTTCCAACAGGTCCCAAATAGGCTCCAAAGATGCCCCAAACTCCTTCCCAGAGGCCCCCGAGAGCCTTCCGAAAGGACGTTGAGGACCCTGACCCACATCAGCGTCGTTGTCGCCGCCGCCGCCGTCGTCGTCGTCGTCGTCGTCGTCGTTGTCGTCGTCATCGTCGTCATCGTCGTCGTCGTCGTCGTCGTCAGCATCGTCATCGTCGTCGTCGTCGTCGTCGTCCTCCCCCTTCAGGGTCGGCGGCACTGGCCATAGGGCCTTCGCAATAGGCATATTGTTCACAACCCACGCTGGGTGGTTTGGAGGTGGCCGAAGGTCACTGGATACAGAGAGGGCCAACGTTCTGGCTCCAAGACTCAAGATACCATCGACACAGCCCAAGCAGGCCTCTGGGGACCCTCGATGGACCCAACAGCCCCTGAGAAGCCCCCGACCAGCCTCTCCAAGAAGCTCCTGGGCAACTGCTTAAACGTCAATGGCTGCCCACGCAGCACCTCAAAAGAACTACCACCACCCAGCAGCGCCGCAAGGGCAACGAACGCGCGGGCAGAAGGCCGCCACGGGACAGTCTGGGCCGGCGGGATGAGCGAAGCGGATTACTCCAGATTTCGTAATAAAAGGGAGGGGGTCTGGACCCTCCAAGACAAGCCATTTCAGACCTCCCCCGTGGGAGAACCCTCCAAAACGTCGTCCCCAGACCCCCCAGGCCCTCCAAGATAGCCTGGAAGAGACCCCCCCCGAAGTGAGACCCCCCTCCCTGTATTACGAAATCTGGAGTACACGCGATCGCCCCTTCCACCCGAGCCTCTTGAGTGAAGGTAAGAGGAAGCGAGGCAACAAATCTGGCGCGGCCTGCCCACGGCCGACGAACTCCAGCACGGGCACGTGCTCCGCTTTGCCTGTCACGCACGGCGCTCTCCCGGGCACCCCCCAAAACCGGGCCCACGGAGTCGATGGATGCCCGGGCGTTGGGGCCGCGAGCGGTCCAGGCCGGAGGAAGGACGAAGATGACTGAGGGGGAGGAGATGAATTGGGCATATCTCTGAGAGCGGGCGGGTCCGGAGGAGGCACCCGCGGACGTTCCAGAGCACTCCGGAGGCCCCTCGGGGACCGCTCTGGGACAAAATCCATCCTACAGCCTAGGCCCCAGGCCTGCCTGACGGTCCGAGCCTCGCTGCACCTTGTTGTGCAAGTTACCTTACGCAGTTGCCGTTCGCTTGGAGTCTCGCTGCAAGGGCGAATTCAGAACGCCTCAGCCCAGCCCGTCGTGCGCTGCCCTTAGGAATGATTTTCACGTCCCGGTAACTCTCTGCTGATTCGCTCCTCGTCTGAAGAGCCCAACGTGATTCCTGCAAGGCCCACCGTGCCGGCTCCTTGGCCCAGAATCGTCCTGCAAGGGCCGCGGTGCCCAGAATCCTTGGCCCAGAATCCTTGGCCCAGCTCGCCTGATCCTTGGCCCAGAATCGTCACTGCACCGACCTTGCAGACGTGCTGCAGCGGATTTGTACGTGGATTTCTGCCAGTGCAACCCCGAAACGGCGAGTGAAAAAACGAAGCGAATTTCGCGTGGACGCTGTTTGGCCTTCGGTCCTGGCTAAAAAAAGAATCCGCGCGAAACTCACATCGAAATCCGGAGCGAAATTCTCGAGGACATGACAGGCCCAACCTGACGTGTTCCGAACAGAAGCCGCTCTGCGATACGAAGGCGCCACGAAGAGCCGTCCCGCAGGGCCCGCCGTGCCGGCCCCTCGCAGTCTCCCGGAGAGTGGTGCCCGCACGCGCGGGGGTCGGCGCAATCGACTCCCGCAGCCGCCCCGAACGCATCACGCCGTCTGGAGTCTGGACCTCAGCGACCCCTCCCGCCCGCCTCCGGAGCTCCGAGCAGATGCCCCCCTCCTGTCGCCCTCGTCGGCCGCTGCGGCAGCTGGTGAGCGCCCTCGTCTGCTGCCACGCCGCGAGCACGTGTGCGCACTGTGCATGTGCCTTCAGTGAGGGCGACGGTGTATCAGGTCGCTGCCTCGCAGTGGTGATGTATACACCGCCACCCTCCCCCGAGTCCCACGAGCAGTCCATGGGAGGGTGTTTGCGTGGATGCTTCTGTGGCGCAGCAGCCATCCGCTCCGGCCATCTCTCACGCCCTCTGGTCCTCTGCTCCCCCCTCTGTCCGCCTCGGGGGAACAGGGCCGCCGTCCTCCTCTGCCGTGCTCGTCAGCCGTCGGGGGAGCCGCCATCATCTGCGCCATCTTCTGCCGCGCTCGTCGACCGAGCATCTCGGGCGCGGCCTGACCGACCCCCTCCGTGACGAGCGCCTTCCGTGGCGTCCCCCGCGCCCTTCAGGCCACCCTCCGGCCGCATACGCACGCCTTGGGGTGACGCGAGGGGCGCGTCACGGAGGGCGAGACCTTCGGGTCGGGCGACAGGGGGGGATAGCAAAGGGGGGGGGGGGAGAATCAGCTCACGTAGCTGGTTTCCCCGGCGCCTCCTGGCGCCGGAGGCGGCTATGCATCGAGGAATGGGCCCCTCGGTGAGACCGAAACCAGCTGCATGCAGCAAATTTCGCAACCCCCCCTTTCCCAATCCCCCCCTCTCGCCCGGCCCGAGACTCTGCGAGGGGTCAGTAAGGCCGCCCTTGAACGTCCTCTCCTCTTCTGCCGCCATCCCCTCCGATCCTTCAGTGGACGCGCTGGCTCGGGTCGGTGCTGCCCCGGGGCCGCCGGGGCCCTGCCGCGAGACCCAGCCGGCCACGAACCAGCTCCCAGGAGCCCAGGCCAGAGCGGAAGGGACAGGAGGAGGAGGAGGAGGAGGAGAAGGAGGAGGAGGGCGGGGTCCAGCGTCCATCCAGGAGATCCGCGCAGACCTCCGAGAGCTTGCTTGGATTCGAAGAACAAGCGGCGTATACATCGACTTCCAGCGCTCTGGGCAAAACCCCATTGTGTTTAGGCAAGATTCTTGTCTTCTATAAGAAGCGCACTGGACGGAGGGGCGACAAACCTCGGGGAACAGACAACTGCGCAAGCGTGAGAACTCAGAGGTCCGCGCCGATTTCTTGGATCGGCGCTGGGTACCCCTCCCTGGCACGCCGAACCCGCCAGGGGCGGCGCCAATTGCGCCGCCAGGGGAGCCCAGAGCAGATCGAAGAAACCCGCGCGGACCTCCGAACATTGATGCCGATGCTGGTGCTTTTCATATTGGGTAGTATATGTCGATGCCGCTGACTCTTCATTAGAAGCGTCCCGAATGGGGTCCGAATAGACGGGGTCACAGGATCGCGCCGCATCGCCGATGCATCGGCGCCGTCGGCGTGGCAAAACACAAGGCCAACGTCGAGCCGCATCGCCGATGCATCGGCAATGTGGCGCGATCCTCCGACCCCATCTGCTCGGACCCCATCTGCGACGCCTAGAGTCTTCGACGCCAGAAATGAATGTTGACGCTGTCGCTTCTTCTCCGAATCACGGAGCTCGCATGGGGTAGGCGCGAGGGTCGCGTGTCCGAGCGCGGGAAACGCCCTGGTGCACACATTCGGGGCTGGCCAGCTCTCGGACACAGACCCCGAGGTGCACTTTACGGTGCGTGTGTGTGTGTGTATGGGTTGGTGTGTGTTGGTGTGTGTGTGTGTGTGTTGGTGTGTGTGTGTGTGTTGGTGTGTGTGTGTGTTGGTGGGTGTGTGTGTGTTGGTGTGTGTGTGTGTGTTGGTGTGTGTTGGTGTGTGTATGTGTGCGTGCGTGTGCGTGTGCGTGTGCGTGTGCGTGTGCGTGTGTGCGTGTGCGTGTGCGCGTGTGCGTGTGTGCGTGTGTGCGAGTGTGCGTGTGTGCGTGCGTGCGTGCGTGCGTGGGTGTGTGTGTGTGTTGTGTGTGTTGTGTGTTGTGTGTGTGTGTGTGTTGTGTGTGTGTGTTGTGTGTTGTGTTTTGTGTGTGTTGTGTGTTGTGTGTTGTGTGTTGTGTGTTGTGTGTTATGTGTTATGTGTTGTGTGTTGTGTGTTGTGTGTTGTGTGTTGTGTGTTGTGTGTGTGTTTGTGTGTGTGTTTGCGTGTGTTTCTGGGGAACAAGAAGACGATGTGGAAGAGGAGGAAGATGAGGAGGAACTGGGGTGGAGCGGGGGGTGGGGAGAAGGAGGAGGAGAGGAGGACAGGAATGGGGAAGGAGGAGGGGGAGGCGACGGGAGGAAGGGGGGCAGGGGGATGAGTGAGGAAGAAAGGGGAGGAGGAAGGAACGGAGAGAAAGAAGACCAACGGAGGGGGAAAAAGGGAGAGGGAGAAGGGGGTAGAGAAATCGATTGGGGAGGAAGCAGGAGGAGGAGGAGGAGAAGGAGGACGAGGACGAGCAGCGGGGGAGAAGGAGAATACGAATAACACCAAGAGGAAGAGGAATAAGAGGAATAGCAAGAAAAAGGAGAGGAGTCATAACAATACGAAGAAGAGGAAAGCCCGCGGACCGCAGGTCTCGGGCGTCGGCCCGCTCTGTCCTCAGAGGGACAGCGAGCCCAAGACGCCATGCACCACGACGCTGGCGACGAGCGCGCACTTCGCTGCCCGTGCTCCGTGCCCGAAGGAGACCACCACCTTGGAGCGGGATGCCCGTACTGATCCGCGTCTGCCAGGGAGCCGTCGCCTGCCCGGCAGGTGAAACGCTGCGCTCCCGCTCGCGGGCCGCACCCCGAGGCCCAGGTCCTGCGCCCAGCACACCACCCTCGGGCCTGCCCCCTCGCCTGGCACGGGGCACGCGTGCTCACAGTATCCTGGGCCACTCGCCGCTGCAGCAGGTGGCCCTCCGCCTCGCGGAGCTGGCGTGGTAGGCGACGGCCCCCTCTCCTCAGCACCAGCAGGCCTAATCCCCTCGCCGGGCAAGGGAGACTGCAGGAGAGGCCCCCCGACGATACCACTCGCTGTGTTCAGGATGCTCGTGTGCCCCTCGGCCAGGTCGAGAAACCGTCCTTCCCCTGCATCTCGCCGCTGTCGCAGACGAGAGGTCCTGTTGCACACGTCTTCGGGGTGCCGAGTTAATCACAATCGTTCCATCCCGTCATGCACTCTGGGCCCGTCAGGAACCTCCTCCTTCGGTGATTGTGTCGCAGGCCTGACACTCGACGGAGCTGGCGCCAGCAAAGGACTGGAAGTCGCTGCCGACGTAGTCGATGACCCGGCCACCTTTGTCTGGCCAAGAAGCATGCGCCGTGGTGGCGCTGCGGATGCCACATGCACAGCATCCAGCACAATATGCCCGAGGATTGTGTTCTTGTCCTGCTCCGCGTCTGTGTGGCGCTTCCCCTTTGCCTTGGCCCGCTCTAGCAGCGCAGCCATCCTATTCTCGTAGCTGCACTCCCCAGTGGCGAGTGGATCATCGACGGTCGTCTTCTCCTTATGAACTGGGGCTTGCCGTCGACTGAGCACCGTGATGGGCATGAGCGCGTCGATGTGTCTCGCCAGCGTCTTGTGAGGCCCGAGCCTTCGCCGGAGGAGGAGGAGGAGGAGGAGGAGGAGGAGGAGAAAGAGGAGGAAGAGGAGATCTTGGGACTGTGCGCAGACAATGGCAACACTCAGGTCTGATTTGCTGACGGCCTCTCGCAAACACCTCGTGGGCCTTCGACGTGCGGCTTTAAGGACGTGATACCTCTGGGTCCGCATCTGGGGAGAACGGCTCACTGACGACTATGGGTTTCCTCTTCCGTGCGCGCAACTCCCTCTCTCATCACGTTGGCAGGATCTCCAACTCAGGGGCGGGGAAACATGACGCACGGATGACTCGAAGCATCCGCAGTTGCTTCGTTCCACACCGACGGGACCTTTTGGCCGCAGATCCTCTCCGGGGGCGGCTGGCGACCTCACTCGTGCGAGCACCGCGCCTGTCCGCGCCTGCTCCTCTTCGACGCGGGCGAAGGATCTTCGGCTCTGGCACGCGCTCGCCCTTGCCGGGATCTCAAACTCGGGCGGGGGAGGGACGGCGCACCGATGACCCGAGTAGCGGCCTTCCAGATGGGGTCCGAGCAGATGGGGCCGCAGGATCGCGGTGCATCGCCGATGCATCGGCGCCGCCAGCGTGGAGAAAATCGGGCTCCACATCGAGCCGCATCGCCGATGCATCGGCGATGTGGCCCGGTCCTCCGACCCGCTTGCCCCAACGGGGAAGCCGGAGGCCTTGACTGAGGCACTCTCACCTGTCTGATGTCACGCCGAGAGGACCTGTAGGCTGCAACAGGGCTGAACCTAAACGGTGTTTTTCGTTTTCGTTTTGTTTCCGTTTTCCCTCGTTTTGTCTTCAATCCGCCTCTACCGCAAAACGAAGTCGAAACGAAAACGGCCCACAAAATCGCCAAAACACCGTTTAGGCCCAGCCCTGGGCTGCAAATCCTCGCCAGTGGCGGCTTGGGACCTCGCTCGTCCGAGCACGGGGGCATGTCCGCGCTTGCTCCTCTCAGGCACAGTGAGGGGGGTGATGCCTGCGGCTCTGGCGCGCGCTCGCCCTCGCCCGTCTCTTGCCCTCCGCAGTGGAGCAGAAAGGCCACCGGTGGTGTGCGTAGAGACCTGCGGAGGCCTCTCGAGAGCCCTCTTGGGCCACACACGAGCGACGAGAAACGAAACGGGTCTTCCGCACGATGGCACGGCGACTTTACGCGGTGGTCCACGCGGGTCGCAGGCGCGGCACGGTACACTGGGAACGAGGGCGCTCGCACGCGACCTTACGCGGGCAACTTGCGCGCGAATGTCCGCGCAGTCGGTCCCGTTGTTCTGCATGGCTCGCATGGGTTGTCTCAAAATGCTCCCCTGGGTGCCTTCGAGGCCGTACTCTTGGGGCCTCTCTTTAGGGGCTCTCGGGCTCTACTCAGGCCCTCGTGCGGGCAATCGATCAGAAGCCCGAGCCCTCCCATGTATGGGACAGGGAACGGTGCGACGGGCGCGGCCTTCCACGAAGGCGGGGGCCTCTGGCAGGCGGAGGGCTTCTCAGAAGCCCCCGCCTTCTTAGAAAGCCGCCCCGCTCGCGCCACCACGCCGGAGCGCAGCAGGGCTCTCGCAGCCTCTGGCCGCCAGGCCGACGGGCGTAGAACAACGTCGGCCCGCTCTTCTCTCAGGAGGGGAAAAAACACACAGACACAATTAATCGTCGACTCCCAGGAAAACATGGGAAAATATGGGAACTGGGCGGAAAAACAAACACCCAAAAAATATAGGAAAATATGGGGAATCCTTTTATTTGTGTGTATTTATTTGTGTCATTGGGCCCCTTGATTCTCACTTGAGGGGCCGCAGGGCGAAAAGACCCGTGACACCCGACGCCCCACCCACTGCCGTGCTGAAAGCAGACTGCCGCTCCTGCGCCCGGCAAAGCCAGCCGACCGATGCACGCCGACAGAGGAAGAAAAGCGGCATCAACGTAAAGTTCCGAAGGCCCGCGCGGGTCTCTTGGACTAGCGCCGGACCCCCCTCCCCCTGCCCAGCGCGCGCGGCGCCGGATGCGCCGCCAGGGGGGGCCAGCGCCGATCCTAGGTCCTAGGTCCTAGACGTCCGCGCGAACAGCCGAAAGTGTATGTTGGTGCACTATATTCGGCGGTGGACAAACCTCCCTTTAGCAAACCTCCCGTTAATGAAAGCGGCCTTGGACCGAAACCGACGGACCTGGACCCGCAAAAATGACGGCCGCGACGCCCTCTCGCGAACCGAAAACGGCCAATTCCTGAATCGACGTGTCACGGTAGGAGGTCTATCAACCTCCGAACACTGCGCCTCTGCTAGAAGGCAAAATTATCCCGGCAAAGCAACCTAACAGCGATGTGTAGGAGCATATCTGGAAGCATTCCCCTTAAGATTCAGATGAGAATCCAGTTGTAGAATTGTGCTGTTCTCGCAGTCGTAGTCGCATTCGCGATGACAGTCGCAGTGGCAACGGCAGTCACAGACACAGCCTCAGCCTCAGCCTGCCTCAGCCTCAGCCTCAGCCTGCCTCAGCCTCAGCCTGCCTCAGCCTCAGCCTCAGCCTGCTTCAGCCTCAGCCTCAGCCTCAGCCTCAGCCTCAGCCTCAGCCTCAGCCTCAGCCTCAGCCTCAGCCTGCCTCAGCATCAGCCTGCCTCAGCCTCAGCCTCAGCCTGCCTCAGCATTCAAAATGTGGCCCGGGAATGTAGTTCTGGGAACTCGAAGAACACGAAGTGGCCTACAGTTGGCTCCGGGCATTCAAATTCATGCCCAGGAATGGAGTTCTGGGAACTCGAAGACCACGAAGTGGCCTACAGTTGGCTCCGGGCATCCAAAATGTGGCCCGGGAATGGAGTTCTGGGAACTCGAAGACCACGAAGTGGCCTACAGTTGGCTCCGGGCATCCAAAATGTGGCCCGGGAATGGAGTTCTGGGAACTCGAAGAGCACGAAGTGGCCTACAGTTGGCTCCGGGCATTCAAAATGTGGCCCGGGAATGGAGTTCTGGGAACTCGAAGACCACGAAGTGGCCTACAGTTGGCTCCGGGCATTCAAAATGTGGCCCGGGAATGGAGTTCTGGGAAGTCGAAGAGCACGAAGTGGCCTACAGTTGGCTCCGGGCATTCAGAATGTGGCCCGGGAATGGAGTTCTGGGAGGTCGAAGAGCACGAAGTGTGTGACTGTATGCGAAAAACGATCCCCGCCGGCAAACCCCAACGGCTCCCCAACGGCTGCCCAGACCCCCCTGTGGAGTAATGTGCTGCTCTCTTTCTTACCCTATTAGAAACCTACCAGTCTTCGCTGTTAGGTAACAACTGCATACACACAGGGGGGGCCCGCGCGGAGCGCCGAAAGCTTGTGTCTGTGCAGTTGTTTCTCTCCGATCTCAGGGTGCGGCATGGCGGTGGGCTTCGACCTACGCCTATGATCGGCGGTGTGGCTCCAGGAGCTGGGAGACTCGCTCGCTCTGCGGGCACCTGGGCTGCTCCCCCCGGCAAGCTCGGGGAGGATCAGCCGAACCTCAACACACAAACGTCGTCAACATCGCCCCGTGCATTCGACGAGCCTGCCCGCGGGATCCGCACGATGGGCTGCCCTCCGACACTCCCCGGGCCCAAGCCAGCGCGCCCGCAGGACTTCCAGCCACCCTGCAGAGCCCGATCCCGTCCCTGGCCCGGACTGCCCGTTGCCCAGGGCGCCTTCTGCATCAGAGATCTGGAACGATGGGGCCGAGTCGAGTGCGGGCCTGTCGGAAGCACCTCCCCCTTCGGTGAACTTGGGACTGTGGCCGCGTCACGACGTGGTCCTACCCCTTCTGTGAGCTTTGGACCGTCACAACATCCGCATGGCCCTCCCCCTTCTATGAGCTTGCGCCACGTCATAACATTCAGATCGTCCTCCTCCTGCTGTGAGCTTATGCCGCGTCAAAACATCGAGATGGCCCTCCCCCGTCTGTGAGCCTGGGCCGTGTCACAACATCCAGGCGTCAATCGGGCCCAAGACTGGGATAGATCGCTTCGGAGCGTTCCAGAAGGCTCTCAAAGCGTCCTGGAACGCTCCGGAACGGCCGCGCCCCCGGGCTCGTCCTCCAGAAATGGCTTCTTGAGATGCTCACCCCCTCTGCGAGAGCTTGGGCCGACAGCGGTGCCGCAACGCCGGCGTGCTCCTCCCAAGACGACCGGGGCTGCACGCTCTGGGGGCTGGCCGCCGGGCACCGCCTCCGAGGCTCTGGGACTGTCGGGGTGGGCTCTATGGAGGCCGTGCTCGCCGGTCGAGGATCGAGCGGGCCTCTCCTCTGCAGCACCCACCCGCCGTGCAGCCGATGGCCCTCGGTGGTCTTCTGCGCTTCCAGGTCACCGGGCCCCAGCACCTCGCTACGGGCCCATCTGGGCAAAGGTGAACACTCGCTCATATCACATCTGTGCCAGACCGGATCACCATTCAGCCCCTCTGGGAAGGTGCATGAGCTCCACTGTCTCGGGCGCACTGGTGCACTCCGACGCCACTTGGACTGGCAGTCAATATTTCGACGCACTTTTCAAGAACTGGCGCGTGAGAACGTTCACCCTGACCCAAACCGTCCTCATTTCACGATCGTCCATCCTCCTCCTCCTCCGCCATTTATGCTCCGTCCTCCTCCTCCTCCTCCTCCTCCTCCTCCTCCTCCTCCTCCTCTTCCCTCCTCCTCCTCCTCCTCCCTCCTCCTCCTCCTCCTCCTCCTCCTCCTCCTCCTTCTCGTCCTCTTCCCCCTCCCTCCTCCGTCCTTTCTCTCCGCCCTGCCTCTCACTGTTCTGCCTTGAAGGGCCTCAGAGGGGAGAGGAGGAGGTGGAGCGGGAAGGAGAGCGGATGGATCGCCTGTCAGGACGTGCACCCCGCGAAGCGAAGAGGAAAATTATCTGGCGCGGCAAGGCGGAGACGAATGGCCAACTGCAAACCTGAGTCAAGCATGGGGCCGGGAACACATCTTGACACGAGCGTGGCATATGCTTGACATCGTGCTGTCTTGCCCTCACTTCCACGGCCAGCCCCCTCGCCAACGTTTCCACGGCCAGGCACGTGTCACATCTCCGTCCGTTCAAGGCTGACCGTCACTGGCTCTGGCGTCTGGGTTATCCTGCAGCCCTTCACGACGGCGCCTGTGCGAAAGGCTCAGGTTTATCATCACTCGCGGACACCAAGTGCGACCTCCCCCAGCACCTCCCGGCACCTCTTGGCGGCGCGCAAAGACGGGGGGGGGCAAGAGGGGCGGCCCTCCAAGAAGGCAAGTCGGCCAGGGGGCTCCTTGGAGGCAAACGATTCTCGGAAGGGCCGGGACCCATAATTTCGAGGCGAATCTGGCCGTGGCGAGGAGGGAAGGGCAACGGTATCGGTGCAGTTTCCCCTTCGGAAGTTCCTCTTCGGAGGCCGTGCCTTCTCGGCAGCCCACCCCCCTCCTCCCAGCATCTTGCGCGCATCGTCACACATGCTCGGGCCCCGCGAGCGGCACACGTATCCGTATCCGCGCCCTCGCTGTCTGGAATCGAGGCCACGATCCCGGGGATACGCGGTCGCACGGATGCGTTTCGCACAGGGCATCCGCGCCCACGAGGGTCCCTGCCAGGTGGCGACATCCGAGACCTACCCTTAAGTCGGGCGTGTCCCCCTACACGGGGATTTTCGACGATTTATTTTTAATACCCCCAAAATACCCCAAAATGATCAAGTCAAGAAATACTTAAAAAATCGTCCCCAGACCATTTTTGGACTAGTTTTGGACTACTTCTGGGGTATGTTTTATTTTTCGTCGAACATCCCCCTGTAGGGGGACAGGCCCGACTTAAGACGCGGGGCTGAGGCCCGGCTCGGCTTTCGCCACGGGCTCCACGAATTCCGAGCCCTACCCCGGCCGCCCCTCGAGCTGCCTTGCGCACCCTCTGATCGACCCCCATCCCCATGGGCCTGGCCTGGGCCCCACTGGCCGATAGACCCCCCTGGATGTGAGCGTGGCCTGCTTCCTTCGGGCTCCGAGGGGCACACCCCCAACCGAGGTGTCGGCACGGTGGGGCTCCTGGGGACGAGGCTGGGCATGGGCATCGGCGAAACCCAGACCCCCGACGTCATGATTTTTTCATGACGTCGACCCCCCGAGGTCTCGACCCATTCCCCGGGACCGGTTTTTCGTCCTGAGTCGTTGTTTGACGGTCCCGAGGGCCGGTAAGGGCCCCCAAAGGCCAAAAATAATGAAAAACCCTCCGTCGTGATTTTTTCGTAACTCGAGGGGGTCTGGGAACGACGCTGCTGCCCGAACCGTGGACCCGCGCGCCGGGCCCGGAACTCGCCGCCGAGCCCCGGTGCACGCCCGGCCGCCCGCCCCACCGCGCGGGCGCCCCCGCTCCCGGCCGCCTCGGCCCGAGGCCCCAACGGAGGCCGCTCCCTGCCCGCACGGCCACCGGCGCCCCGCCTCCAGGGACTCCCGAGCGGGCCCGGAGCAGGCCTCGTGATGGTGAGGGGGAGGGGGAGGGGGAGGAGGAGGAGGAGGAGGAGAGGAGGAGGAGGAGGAGGAGGAGAGGAGGAGGAGGAGGGAGGAGGAGGAGGAGGGAGGAGGAGGAGGAGGAGGAGGAGGAGGAGGGGGAAGAGGAGGAGGAGGAGGAGGAGGAGGAGGAGGAGGAGGAGGCGGGATGAGGAGCATCGTGTCACCGATCCCCATGCCCAGCGGCGTGGCCTGGGCCCCACTGGCCGATGTGCCCCCCCCCCCCTAGATGGGAATGCACTCTTTGTTGCCCCTCGGAGAAGCCCAGCGGTAGGGACAGGCGGCAGAGGGGGGAGGGTCAAGTCGGGCGTGTCCCCCATACAGGGGAAGTCTGGGCGAAAAATAAAAAGATGCTCAAAAAATAACCCCCAGATGGGCCAAAAGAGTCAAAGATCGTCCCCGGATTATTTTTTGCCTATTTTTGCATATTCCCTACGATTCCTGAGGGGGCCACATGCGAACCCTACCCCTACCCCCCACGATTTCTGAGGGGGAGGGTGGGGTTCACTTCGCTCGGGAGCTCCCGAGCGAAGTAATACATGACTAATGTATGACTAAACTTATGCAAGAACTCAGTGTTGTTTCTAATACTAGATCCCTGAATTTTCAATACATAATCCGCACGCGGAGCATGTATCAAAAAGGCACTGCAAGGAGCCGAACTGTACACGCCGACACTTTCTCCGGCCCAGCACTGGAACTCGCACAGAAAAGCGGATCCTGGTGCATACGGGATCCTGGTGTATACATATTGAATTGCTTCCACAGGAAAACGGGCAAAATAGTATACACCACACCACCCCGACGTCGCCCCCGACCCTCAAAAATCCCTGGGATTGCACAACGGCCCGCCACTGGTAACGTATATGCTCCAGTTTCCGAAATAGACGAGGGCGTTCCACTACTCGCAAAGTAATTACCCGCAGATGGCCTGGATCCGCCGCGGGGGACCTACGATTAATTACATCAAAGCAGACACGTGTTTTTGTTCGGACGTTTGCGAGTAGGCACTCTGCGAGTAGCGGACGTTTGCGAGTTCGGACTGTTGCAGTCGTGTTTTCTGCTTCCCTGCGAGGGAGGGGGGGGGCCGAAAAGCGTCCTGGTCAGCGTTCCCGAATAGTGTTTGTGCCATGTGTTGCTCCTCGAGGAACTGCTGTCCGTGCCCGTTCTGGTCGTGCCGCGTCCCAGAGACAGACCCCGCGGAGGCACCCTCCCCTCCTCGGCACCGGCAGAAACTGTCGGGGCTCCGCGCGGATCTGTTGCGTCGGCGCCTGACCCTCCTCCCCTGGACAGCAAAACCACGGGCCCCCGCCCCTGAAAACGCTCGGCGGGGTGCGACCGAAAAACGAAGCACCTCTGGAAACCAGGGCAATCGCAACTCGAAACGACAGAGGGCTTTGGGCGCGCTCCGCGCGCCAGGGGCAGCGCCGGATGCGCCAGGGTGGGCCCAGCGCCAGCCCAATGGATCCGCCTGGACGTCCCAAAGCTTATGCCTATGTGCTTGTGCTCCCCGGGCCAGGAGAGGACGGCACCCGGAGGCGGGAGAGACGAGGACACACCGATGCCGCCGCTTCCCCTCCTCTCCTCGCCCCCTCCACCATCCCACGAGGTGGGATAAGGAGAAGGAGCATCGGCATCGGCATGTGCACATCCTTGGAAAGGCCTCGGGCTGCGCACAGGCAGCCACCTCAAACAGTCCCTGCTGGCCTCGACAAGTCCAGCGAGTAGCCCCGGGCGGTCTCAACACCTCAGCCCTAGGGCGCGGAGAGCCCCAGGGGCGCCCCCAGGGGGCGGCGCCAGGGTGTTGAGACCTGTTGAGGCCAGATGGGGACCACTCGGGGGGCATGTTAGAGCCAGCTGGGACTACTAGAGGGAGGCCACCTTGGGCCAATAACAGGGGAAGCCTACCTGCACGCCACCCGAAGCCTCACCATTGACTGCCCTGGGGAAACTCCGACAAATGTTGCATCAAGGGGGGAAATCCGGAAAGCGTCCTCTTCTGCCGCCCTCCGAGAACTTCAGCACCGCCACGTCGCCAGGTCGAGGCACCTGCGCCCGCGCCCCTCTTGGCGGCACGGCCAACTGCTCTCATGTCCCGCCCGCGCGCCTGACTGCATGCGCCCTAGCCCTTCTCGTCCCCCTCCTCCTCCTCCTCCTCCTCCTCCTCCCTCTCCTGCTCCTCCTCCTCCCTCCTCCTCCTCCTCCTCTCCTCCTCCTCCTCCTCCACCTCCACCTCCTCCTCCTCTCCTCCTCCTCCCTCCTCTCCTCCTCCTCTCCTCCTCCTCCTCCTCCTCCTCCTCCTCCTCCTCCTCCTCCTCTCCTCCTCCTCCTCCTCCTCCTCCTCCTCCTCCTCCTCCTCCTCCTCCTCCTCCTCCTCCTCCTCCTCCTCCTCCTCCTCCTCCTCCTCCTCCTCCTCCTCCTCCTCCTCCTCCTCCTCCTCCTCCTCCTCCTCCTCCTCCTCCTCCTCCTCCTCCTCCTCCTCCTCCTCCTCCTCCTCCTCCTCCTCCTCCTCTCCTCCAGGCCGTGTCAGCTCTGCCGATCCTATCCACGGATGCGCTTTCCTGGACTATTTATCTCAACGCTCGCAGCTGCAGGCCATGAGACTGCTAGTCAAGGCTGGTAGAGGGTCGATGATGATTGCGATGGTGATGATGTAGATCAAGATGGTGATGGGAGTGATGTGAATGATGATGAGGATGATTGATTATGATGATGGTGACGATGATGATGAACATCATCACCACCACCACAACCACCACTACCACCACCATCATCATCATCATAATCATCATCATCATCATCATCATCATCATCATCATCATCATCATCATCATCATCATCATCATCATCATCATCATCATCATCATCACCATCATCATCATTAATATCATCATCAGCAGCATCACCACCATCATCATCATCATCAGCATCATCATCATCATCATCATCATCATCATTAGCATTATCATCACCATCACCATCACCATCAGCATCAGCATCAGCATCAGCATCAGCAGCATCGTCATCATCATCGCCATCATAAGCATCAGCATCAGCATCAGTAGCATCATCATCAGCATCATCATCATCATCATCAGCATCAGCATCATCATCATTATCATCATCATCATGATGATCATACTCATCATCATCAGCATCATCATAGTAATCACCACCATCATCACCATCATCATCATCAGCAGCATCATAAGTATCATCACCCCCACCACCATCATCAGTATCATCATCATTACCATCATCAGTTTCATCATCATCACCATCATCATCATCAACATCCTCAGTATCACCATCATCATCATCACCATCATCATCAGCAGCATCAGTATCACCATCATCAACACCATCAGCATCATCTTCTTCTTCATCGAAATCAGCATGATCCTCATGATCATCAATCACCATCTTCCTCGGGACGGGCAATCCGGGGCGCTGGAATCGCTGCCCCGAGTCCCACTGGGTAAGCCTGTGCCGTGTCAGGGCGTGTTTGTAGCGTTAGAATAGGTGAGAGGGGCCGTCTGGAGTCCATCTCGAGTGGTCTTAGGGGCCGTCGGGGGTATCGTGAGGTTCTGTTGGCTTCTCGGTGCGCTACTGGGGAGCTCTTGGGGGCGCCTGATGGGCCCAGGTCCCTGGCAAAACTTCAAACCAGCCCGGAAACAATTTCGAGAACTGCTCCATGACGGCCCCGAGACACCAAAGATAGCCCTAAGGCACTCCAGAATGCCCCCCCCCTCCCCAGAGCCCGAAGGAACGCCAACATGGCTCCAAATGTCCCCCAGGACTGGCCGAACACACAACACGATACACACAACTTTCGGAGGCCAACGCGGATTTCTTGGATCCACGCGGACACCCCCTCCCTGGCGCACGGAGCGCGCCAAAGGCGGCGCCAGAGTCGCTGCCAAGGGGGCCTGAGCAGATCCAAGAAGTCCGCGCGGAGCTCTGAAAACTTATGTCAGTGCTGCCTGTTCTTCGTCGGATGAGGGCCTCAAGACGACCCCAATGCTTTGGCAGCACGCGTGTCGCGGCCGCACACTCAGGAACACTCACTGAAGCATCGGGGGCAATGCGTGCCAGCCTCTCGTCAGCACGGGCCCGCCGTGACTGTCGCTTTGCGGTCGCAACGACATGTTCGTTGCCCGCCCCTGCGACAACAAATCTTTTCCTTCCACCAGCGAGCGCCCATCTCATACCAGCAAGCGTAAGGCCCCTGAGCTTGCTCTCTTGGAAACGTGCAGCCGATGATGCGTGAAACCGCGGAAGCGAAGAGCGCCGACGACGGAAGAGGAAGCAGGAGAAGGAGGAGGGAGAAGAGGAGGAAGAGGAGGAGTAGGAAGAGGAGGAGGAAGAGGAAGAGGAAGAGGAAGAGGAAGAGGAGGAGGAAGAGGAGGAAGAGGAGAGGAGGAGGAGAAGGAGGAAAAGGAGGAAGAGGAGGAGGAAGAGGAGGAGGCAGAGGAGAGGAGGAGGAGGAGGAGGAGGAGGAGGAGGAGGAGGAGGAGGAGGCGGAGGAAGAGGAGGAGGAGCAGGAGGAACAGCGGAAACGAAAGGACTGCAAACCCCTGCGGCAACTGTGATGGCCTCGCCCTGGAGCGGCAGAGGCTGCACCGCAGAGCGCGCTGGCCGCCGGGCCGCCTAAAGCGGCGAGCGGGCACGCGGGCAGTAGTAACGACAGGCTGTGAAACTCGAAACGCAAACAGAAACGATGACGCGCACATACACATTACAACGATCGGCGCGAACCCCTCCCTGGCGCGCGGGGCGCGCCAGGGGCGGCGACGGAGGTCTGTATGAAAGCGGTGAATGGCACGATTCAGCCCGCCAAACAGGCCATTGAACCGGGCAAGCACTAAACAAACTCAGGACTACGCCGTAACAAACCAGTTCTAGCGGGATGAGTCGTCACTACTGGGGATTTGGCCGGATTACACCCATCACAGTCAACCGATTTGGAATCAGGGATTGCGGCTTTTTAGCGGCATTTAAAAACATGAATGTTCCGGGCTAAAGTTCCGAGGTGCTCTTAACATTGGATGTGTAATCCTGCACGTCTTCTCTGAGTGTTGTTACGGATAGGGGTAGATGCTTCAACTTCACAGGTAAATGCACGAGCTGGATTGGACTCTGCGTTGCGTCTTTTAGTTTCAATGTTGATGCGAATGTATGACATGTATTTCATGTTTCTTGATGCGCGCACCAGCCTTGGGATGGTGTTTGCTGCTCTGCCCCCCCCTTTTCCGCCACTTCGCCCCTGCCCTGATGAGATCGGCAGACCACTAAGGACAGCCACTTCCGCAGGAGGTGATTGGCGAGTTTCAAGGTGGAGGAGGTTGGATGGCCATGAGGGAACTTGCGCCTTGGCGCGGGGCGCATGTGGAAATTGAGCGGTCACTGGGGGAGTCGGGATGGGCACGGGAAAGTGAGAGCGAGGGCTGGATCGCTGGGTGGGGCATGGGGGAAGTTGGAAGGACGTGGGGGAGGTTGGATGGCTCTGGGGAACTTCGGGCCGACGTGAGGAAATTGGGAAGACCACCGTCAGACTCCGTGCGCTTCCTGAACCCCCCCTCCGCCCTGCGCCCACGTCGTCCCTGGACCATTGGCCTACTTGGGGTCCGAAGCCACCATCGGCTCGGACACCGAGTGGCCACGCCAAGTTCGCGGGGTGGTTGAACGGTCAACCTCGCGGCCCTAGGTGGGTCTGGGACAGGTTGAGATCGGGCCGGTCGGAGCACGCCAGGGGGATGCTCGATGGCATGGCGATGGGCCCTCAGAAGTCCGCGTCGGACGCTCACGACGGGGAGATCAGGGTCGGCGGCAAAATTGTGGACGCGGTCCTGGTCGGCCGGGCTGCCCCCCCACAACGAGGCCCCGCGGGTCTCGGGACCGACATTGCGTCCGGGCCAGGACTGCTCCGGAGCTCAGGGTGCGAGGGATGATCGGGTTGATGGGTGGGCAGGCGGGCGGGATCGGGGCGGCGGGGCAGGGCGGGGCGGGGAGAACGGGGGTGGGGGGATGTGGGCGGCCGCAAGGACGCATGGAGAACGCCAGTAGCTCGCGGGGCCAAGGGGGGTCGAGCGATCAAGTGCTCGTTGCCCAACCTGGCACTGATCGCGGGGAAAATTACTCGCGCGGGCGAACGCGATCTCCGCGGGTCGCTTTCTCGCCCGCCGGCTCCGAAAAGCGCCCGAATAAGATTCTTTTTTGGAGGGGGGGGGGGGGGGGCGCCGCCCAGCGCGGAAGCCGCGTCGCCCGAGCGGGAAAACGCCCTCGGGGAGCTCGTCGAGCCCAGCGCGGGACAGCCAAGTCGAGCCACGCAGAGCGCCCCACACAGAGCACGTCGCGGAGAACCCGCGACGCAGTAACGGCGGAGACAACAAACTATTTGTCAATGCAAGGGCAAGGGCCCGGCGGCACATCTGGCGGGGGCTCCAGGGCACCGCCCTGGTCGCTGGCGCAGGCGCGCCAAGCCCGGCAACTGTGGCCCACGCGTGGCGAATTTTACGCGACCCCAGCGCGCACTGGCACCCGGGCCGACGCGCCGTCCGCGCGCGGACGGGGGTGCCAGCGCGGGCGCGAACGCCCGTTACGCGAAAGCCGCCGAGGACAGCGGCTGCGCGCGCTAACGATATCCGAGCCGCGGCGCCGCGCCGCCCTCAAGCTCGACCCGCTGACGTCCCCACACGGGCAATGGAGCAATTTTCACGCAACGCGAGGAGGGGCCGGCGCTTCCGCGGAGACCGGTGCGGGAGTTCCGACGAACCCCTCCTGAAACCTTCCTGAGGAAGGTTTTACGAAGGTTTTTTGGCAGGTTTTCCCCGGGGGGGGGGAGCAAAGAAGGTTTCAAGGAGGTTTTCCCAAAAACCTTCCAAAAAACCTTCCAACAACCTCCCAAAAACCTTCCAAACACCTTCCGAAAACCTTCCAAAACCCCACCAAAAAACCTTCCAAATAACCTGCCAAAAAACCTTCCAAAAACCTTCCAACAAAAACCTTCCTAAAACCTGCCTAAAACCTTCAGAAAAAATTATCCCGGC